GACCTAAAATTAAAAATGGCATCATGACATTTTCTAGTGACCAATTAAAAAAAATTAAAAAAATCATTTTTTACCTAGATAAATTCCTTCGTAAGTTGAGAACATTTTTTTGTATTTCTTTAAGGCATGGGCTTCAAGGAATCCCTTCAATTAGTCTACTGGAATTTTTTCCAACCAATCCAATACTCCAACTACAATGGGAATTTTTGAGATTTCGATTTCAAGGTCCTTGTATTTTTGATAGCTTTTTGAAGATCTTCAAAGATATATTGCAGTCTGCAGGAACTGCCATATCAATAAGGAGGCACTTTTTTGTTTGCGGTTTCTAATAACAATGTCTGGGCGGCTAGCTTTGATTGTTCTGTCTGCGTGTATTGTGTAGTCCCTTAAAATTGTAACAGGTCCTATCACTGGTTTGGGTGGTGTTCATACCAATTTCTTTCAGTTTCCTTTCCGTAGAAGTTGCAGATTTTCCAGTGCAGATAAATGCAACAAGAACTTTTGATAAAATCATTTTCAAATCTTTCACGTGAGACATCAGCTAGGTAAATTAAAGTTTTTCTCAGGAAGTTACTGAAATAATTTATCTAGGCAAATTGAACACTGGCCCTTACCACGATAGTATTTGTGCATAATATTTTATAATTCGCTCTATTCCATACTACTGCATAGATGGTATTAATGCAAAGATGGCTTCTTTCTCTACCTCACTTTATTGATGGGGAAGGACAGACGGGGCATCTTGGGTTCCATGAGGCAGCGGGGGGAGGAATTCAAAGAAACGCGTGCGGCTCGTGGCTCCTGGGTGTAGTAAGCCTATCGATGCTTGAAATTCCTCTGACCCTCCGTTAACATCGCGCCATTTTGGACTTATATCGAAAACCAAGACAAATGCAATCCATCACTGTCAGAATACCACACCCACGCATTATTCTGCCCAATCCCTGACCATCCTAGATTTTGCATTCTGTAATACTTCTGATGATTAGTCGATGTAGGTTGAAGTGGACAAATATTTCGAATCAACCGCTGACAATGCCTCATCATTTGGAGAAATTGTACCAGCAGTTATTTTTCTCATTCTCTCTTCTTTTTCTTGCCGTGTACATTCATAACGTAGGTGATGATGGCACTAAAAAGCATCTTATCTCTCTCATCCTCTGTACCGACATCCATTCACACAGGTTCATTAGATCGGTGGCACGATACCCCGCCTCTCTCTCCCTCTTTCTCTATCTCTAGACTTCGATATGCCCTGTGAGAGTTAAGTTTTCCAAGTCCTAATATTTAACCCATAGTTGGGTGAGATGGATTCATACCTCCCTCAAATGAAATCGGAGTTTAAGTTTACGTAACGAACCCGACTGAAATTCAAACTCGGCACTACGAATTTTTATTCCGAGACGCTATCCATTTGAGCATACGGTTAGAAAAGGAACTGAAAAAAATAGACCCTAACCCTAATTGCGTGCGGCTCGTGGCTCCTGGGTGTGTTAAGCGTATTGATGCTTGAAATTCCTCTGACCCTCCGTTGGCAACGCGCCATTTTGGACTTATTTCGAAAACCAAGACAAATGCAACCCTAACCCTCACCCTGTGTTCAACATCTACAGTAAGACTATCATTTAAGGTAGCCTAGTCCGCTCAGACGGTCTTTAATGAGGTTATTCCCGAGTTTATAGATGTAACTCCCAAGTCACTTTGGCTGTGTCATCTTTCAAATAAAATAGAAAAAATAACCTTCTTGACTATTTGACATGATCCTCCCCCAATACTGCCACTCATGAGCAGAAAGTCATATTACGATTATGATTAGGCCACAGACAAGCAAAGCAGGGTTATTGAACGGGACATTTACTCAATCTCATTTTAATTCACCAAGACAAAACAGGTGCATATTAACAGTTCAGACCAATTATATTTAGCAACAGAGCAATTAGTAGTTTCATTGGTTTATTATTCATTATTATTATTCATTATTATTATTATTATTATTATTATTATTATTATATTTCATTTGGTTTCTTTCGGGGTCGCGACCACAGACCAAAGGTCAGAAATGGCATCAGGACATTTTCCACTAAGCAGTTTTGGAAAAAAAAATACTCGCACATATTTTACATAGATAAAGCACTTCGTAAGGTGTGAGCTGTGCTTGTGAGGACAATTTTTTGTATTTCTTTAAGGCATGGGATAGCAGGGATTCCTTCAATGAGTCTATTAGAATCTTTTCCAATCAATTCAAGGGCTCCAAATACAAATGGATTTGTTAATGTCCTCATGCGCCACATTTTTCAGATTTCGATTTCAATGTCCTTGTATTTTGATACGTTTTGTGAATTTCTTCAACGATATGTTGCAGTCAGCATGTCAAGAAGGAGAAACATTTTGTCTTTGCGTTCTCTAATCACGATGTCATGGCGATTAGCTTTCATTGTTCTGTTTGTGTGCATTGTAGAGTCATTATTATTATTATTATTATTATTATTTCAATCTGCTTGTTTCTTTTACGAGCTGCCTTCAAGATTTGATCTCAAACCTCAGGAAACTGCAAGTCAACAGATCATAGTTATTGATATTGTTTGTTGTATATATATATCTGATATTCTCAGCATCGCAAAGAATTGCTACTTTAGCTATAGAGTTTTCTTAATAATAAAGTCCTTCATAATAGGTAGGTCCATGAATGGCCAGTTCTCTGTGGTAATTAACGATCAACGAAGGCGTCCTCTAAGACCAACCTCTGTTACTTTACATACATGACCTCCTTAAGAGTAGACTGCAATCATTTGTTAATATCTATGGTGATGATACTATATGAGTACAGCTCCAAAATCTATTAATGACCAGAGATTGGCATGTGATCTCTCATCTGACCGAACTCAGCTCAGTGGAGGAAAACTGACTGGTTATATTCAATGCCTCGAAAACCATTCTAGGTACATTCCATCATCACCGATCGAACCCTGAACTACCACCAGTCACGATAAATGGACGCTCCTTCACGGAGACCCCTTGCCTTGAGCGACTGTTGGGCCTAAAACTCAAACTAGACTTCAAGTGGAGCTCGTACACACGATCCATTGCTAATCAGATCTAAACTGTTGTCATATTTGGACAGCAGCTAGTCAGCCCGTTCTTTCTAGTCTTGATAGCGTTCAAATGCGTCTCAGTTCTAAGCTTCACGGCTAGAACCCGCCATGCTACGGACATTCTGGTGAACTAGCCTCATTCCCTGTGTATTCCCTTGATGAGAAGTAAGTTTCACTCGAGCAGACTCTTCCCACGAATCATTGTTCTGTGGAACCGACCCTCAAGCTGATGCTTCCCCGACCACTACAATCTTAACCAGTTCATGTCTCGGGTTAACCGTTATCTTCCCCACATATCCGCATAAACTATTACACTCTACCGAGAGTCGCTCCTGGGCTTTTTACAACTTAGAAACTCACAGTAAAAAAAAAAGAAAAAAAGAACAATTTTCTTGCTTATAGATTTTATTAAGATATGTATGTGTAGGGACAGTTTAAAATTTTTAAAAATGTGAGAAATGATTAAATGAAGTGTCTTTAAAGCAAAATTATGCTATGGTTGTAAAATTAAGTTAAATTCAAATTCTAAAAGAGAAATCAGTATATAATACTTAGAATATTAATATAAAATCAGTAATAACAATATTGCAGTTCTGTTAAAAAAAATATTACTGAGACATTAAATTTTTAAATTCCAAAAATTCATTTACTGATGTCCTCCCAGCGGATAAAAGCTTTGGCTGGACCTAGTGACTTGACCCAATGAGTTGTGAGTGCAATATCTAGATATGGCAGAGGTGAACAAAAAATGGGAGCTCAACTCGGAATTCCAATCACCTGAAGAAGGTCGGAACGTACAACGGCCGAAACGCCGTGAAGATGACATTAATGATGAGGACGACAGTCGGAACAAAGTAAATAGGAATTGTTTCTTTAATGTGTAACGGCTTTCCTTTTTCCCAGCATATCTTTGACAGTTATGCCCGGTTTACTGGCTTATTGTTGCACAGCACATACGTTATTATTATTATTATTATTATTATTATTATTATTATTATTATTATTTCTGCTATGGACACACTACCTACCAAGTCTGCGGAAAGACCTAAGGCAGGTCGTGGTGTGTTGTTATATACATTTCATGTTAATTTTTTTTTTTTTTTTTTTTATCTCCGATGAAGTTGCTAGCGTTACATAGACAAAGTTCTCCTTAGTGTGTGTGCTGTACTTAATAAGACAATTTTCTGTATGTCTTTTAAGCTGGGGTTTCAGGGATTCTTTCAATGTGTTGTTTTGTTCCATTTTTATAATTCCAAGTGCACCTATTACCACTGGTATTATTCTTGTTTTCAATTTCCACATTTTTTCTATTTCAATTTCCAGGTCTTTGTATTTTGATAGTTTTTCAAATTCCTTGGTTGCTATGTTACAATCCGCTGGACAAGCCATATCAATTAGTAGGCAAGTTTTTTTCTTTCTGGTTTTTTTGACAATAATGTCCGGCCTATTTGCTTCATTTTTCTGTCTGTGTGGATGGTATAATCCCATAGAATGGTGACATCTTCTATTTCTGTAACCGGCGCTGGCCGATGTTCATACCATTATTATTATTATTATTATTATTATTATTATTATTATTATTATTATTATTATTATTTCCTTTGATTTCTGTGGTATACCCATTTCCTTCTGTATTTCAACTAGAAAACTTAAAGTCAGAAATGGTTTAAACACAAACATTTATGTAGATAAAGCTCTTCATACGTGTGAGCTGTAATTTTGACTACAATGTTTTGCATTTCTTTAAAGCATGGGCTACTAACAATCCCTTGAATGAATCTATCGGAAACTTTTTCAACTATAACTAGAATTATCGATGTCCTCAAGTGCCACATGTTTTTAGATTTCCACTTCAAGATTATTATTATTATGATTATGATTAATAATAATTTCTTTTTTTCTTACCAGAAAGCCATTTCCAATGCAGTAATGGTCTGTACGTGCACAAAGACAAGGTGTGTGACTCGCATATTGACTGTCTTATTGATCATGACGATGAAACTAACTGTAAGTATAGTTTTTAATCAAACCGCCAAGTGCCGGTGTTTTTCATTATTGACGAGAATTCTTCAACAACTGTCTTTATTTTAGTTCTTACTATTTTTTTTTTTTTACTGATTCAATTAATGCTTGCAAATAGTTATTGTTAAAGTTATATCTAAATGTTTCTATTTCTTTTATAATTTCTTTGAATGTCCTGCTGTTACGAGAAACGGTTTGTTAAATCCCCCTACATTGTTATGGCTACTGAGAGTTTTAAGGCATTTATTCACATATAGTATCTCTGAATGAATGTTGAAAAAAAAATATGTTGTTCGAAATTATATTCTTGTGGTCTGTTTATGCTGTAAAACCTCTAATCAATCTGCTCCATTTCTCTCTTCCATTCCATCATTTGCCTTTTCTCTGTAGTTTTCTCTAGTTTAATGGAGTTTACCCTCGTTTAGCGCCTAAAACTTAGACCAGTGCACTTAATGAGGATCGATTTCTGTAAAAAAAAATATTACACGCTTTCTCTTAATGAAATAATCAAAAGAGGTGAAACTGTTAGGGAACATAATTAGAGAGCAGGGTTTCGAGAATTTGATACGGACAAAATATACTGAAGACAGAAAGAAAGAAGAAAACGTTGATTAACTGACCTAAGAGGCTAATGTAAATGGAACGAATAACAGAGAGGGGAATGGATAATAAAAAGTGCTAGAAAGGATATGAAGTAGTGGAGAGATATAATCGTTCACGTCCTGAGTTGACACGTCATATAGCAGATAAAGAAGAATGTCGACTGGAATTTTGAGATTCAAACGTGTCACTGAGTTCAATCCCCTAATTAAAATTGATTCGTCCTCTATTTGCCAGGTCTCTTCAGGACTTTGGCGATAATGGTTCGCTACAATTTTCTGTCCTTTGAAGTTTTTAATAAATTTTATTTTTTTGTTATCTCTCTTAAACCTTGTTCTTCCATGCATTTACTCACGCTCTCTAGGTAGATTATGCGTTATTTTCCACATGCCTTCAATCTGTTGTGTGAGTATCAAATTTTCCAAGCTCTCCTTCCTCATTATATGCTCTTGAATTGTCAAATGTCTTTTCCTAATGTTAAATATGTCTTTTTTGTTTGCATTTTCATAAGAAAAATCGCCATTTTCTTTTGTTTATAGTATTTTCAGTATCCTTCTGTAGAACCACATTTCTGCTGTTTTAAGTCTCTTCTTGTGAGAAGATTCCAGCATTCATTGTCAGGAAGATTGATATCGCATAACATTTTTAGTAGTCTTTTCTTTGTTTCTAACGAAATGTTCATGTTACTTATCATTAGCTTAGCTTTTCGAAAACATCTTTCCGCTATCCCGGATTTCAGTATCGCACTATCAATGTTAAAGAAAATATTTGTCGGATAATGGATATGGCTTGTTCAACAGAGAGCGCATTAAAATTACAAAACAAAAAATTGAAAAATTCAGTCTTGAGAGGAAAATGAAAAATTGTATGCACGAAAGTGAAGGGTGTACCGGTAATTTAAAGAACACTTGGAAAAACTGACAAAGAAGATGGTAGAATTGACAATGACAGGGAAAATAAGAACCGTCTACACAACAACATTAATAAAAATCATGGTGATGATTACTCTCAACAATTACCTGTCCTTTGTAGAAATCAAATTTATCTCTCGCCCACACATATACACACACACAATTGCGAACATATATTAGCATCTGAATTCCACATAGGCAAAGTAAAATTATGATACAAGTACATACATAAGCAATATTTACGGTTTTTCAGTTAGGCTTGAAATCTGTTAATTTCTTGAAACTTTGAAGGGACGCGTCGTCTCTCCTTGTATTCAAAACGCTATAAATTTGTTTAACCACTCAAATGCACGTGAAGCCTTATTAACCAATGAAAGTGAAACAACATCAATATAAAAATACCAGAATTTATTTCTTCATATTTTCTCCATATCTCATTATCTAAATTATCTATTTAAAAAGTGAAACTTTAGATTGATAAACGTTTGTTCTTTATCAAGTTTCATTAAAGGCAACAAATTTTATTCTTAGGGACGGCCAAGATGGATTTTAGGTTTAGCGGGCTAGACTCGTTGACCATTACTACTGAGTAGTGAGTTCGTTTGGTTTAGCTTGGCTGTTTTTGTTTAGCGGCATATCAACCACTATGGGTTATAAAATTTACTGTTTAATGCCGAAATCTAAATATTTTGTATACAGTTTCATGGTTTCAGTTCCATATATTTTGTACGCAAACTTATGTCGTCAACTACATACATTTTGTAAGGATTTTTATGGCTTCAAGTAATGCGTTCGATCATCACTGAAGGCTCAATACTTGTAACTTTGTACGCAAAGAATGTTTATTTGAAAAAGAAAGATCGCTCTACTGTGGGATAAAGGGGCGCGTTTCTGAGAGAATTAGTAGTCCTACTAGGATTCAGTATTGGTGGCTACAATCTTAACATCAGACAAAAACTATCACAGAAGAGAGAGAAGGAAAGCGAGAAGAAAGGATTAAACATCAACAGCAAGACAGAATGCATGTTTGTTAGCAAAAGGATGAACCCAAAGTGCGATTTGCAAATCGGAGATAGCAAAAGCAAACACATACAAAAATGTTAATATTTAGAAAGTATTTTAGCATTAGACGAAAAGTGCGACACTGAAATCTGAAGGCGCACTGGGATAACCAAAGTTGTATTCCAAAAGTTAAGCAGGTTATTAAGAAACAGAAAAACTTCATTAGAAACAAAGAAGAGTACAAACTGTTACGTGATATCTGTTCTCCAATATGGCAATGATGCTGGGCAATCTCCTCAAAGATTAAGAATAGACTCTAAGCAACAGAAAACTGATTCTACAGAAGGATGCTGAGGATACCATGGCCCAAACATGTGAGCATCGACAAAGTTGTAGAGAAAATGGAAACACAAAGGAAACTTATCCTTGACACCAGGAAGAGATAGTTGAAATTTCTAGGCATATAATGAGGAAAGAGGGCGTGAAAAATGGATACTCACAGGACAAATTGAAGGCAACAGGGAAAGAGGAAAAATCCGCATAACTTACTTGAATAAATGGATTGTAGGACAGGGTTTAGCAGAAATAATACAAAGATGAAATTTATTTGGGGGATACAAAGGACATGAAGTCGTAGAGAGCCATGATCACCTACATCCTGAGGGGATACGGCAAATGAAGAAGTTCTGCTTAGTAGTAAGTTCCTAGGTCCCAAAACTTCGTTAGATTTATAATGATGCTTCGTTTGGAGAGATGTTTGTCAGGTTGTACATTACTGCTAAATAGTAATTTAGAACTTCATCAGGCGCTCAATACTTACGCCACCCTAAACCAAAGTCTTCATTAAAAACTAATTCCAGAAGCGGACGTGTTTTTATCCCGGAGGTGAAATGGACTTGATTATTAGATACTTGAGATAGCTCTGATCTGATCATCTGCTACAACTGTTTCTGATAGTCTTTTAGTCGTGGCATTGTTAGAAAAAAAAATTTATTTATTTATTTAGGATACCAAAGCTTTGAGTAATAATTACCAAGTTAGTCTGGTTGGCCATGACGTGTGTGTTATGGGTTCTTTTTCAACAGTTCAATATATGTGGCCTGTTAACAAAACTCGAGTCAGGCTTGGATCTGCAAGTAGTGTAACAGTTAGATACTCGGAAAGGGAAAAAATCTAGCCGGGTTCAAATTCTGCTTAAATTCGTTATTTTTACTATCTTAGTGAAATTTATAAATGTAATATTTTCTGTCGGGCTTATGGCCATATCACGATGAAACACTGGTTCCCGTACGAACACCGAGGTTAGCAATCATCGAGTCTAGTCATTACCAAGTTGGGTGACCGCTTGAGAATACTTGTACTGTAAGGTTGGATGTGCGGGTGGTGTAATGGATAATAGCTCGGAATTAGAAATCGGATAACCGAGTTCTAATACCAGTTGGGCTCATTATATTAACTTACGCGCAAATACCCTTGGGAAAAGTATGAATCCGCTTCTCTCTCCCCCAGCCATGGGTTAATTAGTAAAACTTGTATTACTAAAACCATTACTATCTCAAAAGAATGGAAAATGTAACAACATTTTTTTTTTTACATTGATGTTCTCCTTGTACAAGACCAAGAGCTACTCGATGTAGAAGGTTAGAGAAAAGAAGTAAATTTCATGGAGATATGTGGGGAAGATAACGGTTAACCCTAGACTTGGACATGTTAAGATTTTAGCGATTGGAGAATCATCCTCTTGGGAGTCGGTTCCACGAAGTAGAGGTTCGTTGGAAGAAACTGCTTGAACGGAACTTACATTTTACCAACGAATTTGTTTAAGCAAATTCACGTCAAGCAAGGCAGTAAAGCCACTAAGACACAAGGGGTTACTGGCTGTGAAACAATTAGAAAACAGAAACAATATTAAGGTGAGAGAATAGAAGAGAAATCAGGAAGAGAACGATTGGCATTGCATCTAAATTTTTGAAGATCAAAGTTAACTGGAAAGCATGCAACCGGAAGAAAGTTCCACAAGCGAGAAGTGCGAGAAAAGAAACTATTAGCATAGAACTTATTGTTACATTAAGTAAATTCAATTGTGAATTCATAAGACGTTTTTGCCAATCTAGAACTGTGCTTAAATGCATAAATTCTTGGTAAAATAGCGAAGAACTGAATATGAACAATATGCGTCGCATATTGGGTCGTCTTCGCTGTGTCATCAGGAACAACGAAAAGAATCATTAATTGATTTGTAATATTAATCCTCCTATATGTCAGTGAATGCTTGACACTTTTCTCACAGGTAAGAAGACTTGAAGCAACGAGGATGAAGTTCTAGAGAAGGATAATGAGAATACTTTGATATAGCATGCGAGTAATGAGCAGATCCCATGTGTACTGAAGAAATATAGCACAGAGAAGTGAATTTGAACCACAGGAGTTACTCTACATATCAACATTTAACTAGAAATCGGGCGAATATGT